TGTTTCTATCCAAACTAAGTGCTTTGTTATCCCTGTTGCATATTCTTTCTACCTATAGTTAAGTGAACCTTATTAACTGCTGAATGACCTTGCTTCATCCCCAGACCAAACTTGAACTAATAGTATTCTAGGCCCAGTCGGGCCTGCCCACCACAGCAGGTCACAACAGAAACTGAAAGGTAAATTAGAGAATAAGACCAGAGTTCTCCTAAAAGCTGAAAAAGATCTCTGACACCAGATTAACTGTAAAGTTCATCAGTGTCATCTTTTAAGAATTGAAGAGTCCTTCAAGCAAAGGGTGTGTAACATGACTCTGCAAGACGAAAAGGCCGAGAGAACGTCCTATAGTGCACAAACTGAGAAGTCATGGAAAGATTGGCAGTTTATATGGACCTCTGCAGAACAATTTGTTCACTGGTGAGTATTTGTAATTTCTACAAGTTCTATTTGTTTTCACTATAAATAAATATATCACTAAAAATAAATGGATCCTATAAATAAATCATTCCATTCTGAAAGGATTTGGTAATCATGTGAAGGATGGCACCAGGAAGGGGAGATGGGGAGCAGTGACTGATTCAGATAAGTGTACCTAGTACCTTTATTTCAGGAAAAACTTGACTTAAGACTTGAGCATCATCCCACTTTCAGAGAACCAGGAAGGAAGGAAAAGATGAATGAATGAAAAAGGATTTATAAAGCACTGTGCCAAGTGGGGAATTACAGTAGAAAAGACAATTCCTACTCAAGGAATTCACCTTATAATAGGGAAGCAAGGGATGGAAGGGAGCAAACATTTATTAAGCGCTTACCTTGTGCTTTACAAATATCATCTCTTTTGATCTTCACAACAACCCTAGGAGGTAGGTGCTGTCATTATTCCTGTTTTATAGTTGAAGAAACTGAGGCCTACAGAGCTTAAGTGACTTACCCAAGGTCACAATTATTAGGTGTTGGAGGCCGGATCTGAACTCAGAGCTTCCTGACTCTAGGCCCAACTCTCCACTGTACCATCTAGCTGCCCAAACATTGAAGGTCTCAACTATTAAATCAGGTGGAAAGGTCCCATGGTCCTTAGGGTACAGCAGTAAAATGGATGGTAATGTATTTTCCTCAGTGTCATTTCTGTTAGTAAAACCATATCAGTTTTTGATGCTGAATGAATTATAGATAATCTATTGAAAAGGAATTCAGGAATGGTATTACCTTTGTCTCTTCCTTCATTCAGCTGTCAAGTCCTATTGATTCTACTTCCATAATATTTTTCTATTCCTAATGCTACCTTCCTAATGCAGTACCTACCGGGATTATTATATAGTACCCTTATCAGCCAGGCTTCCTTCTTCTGTTCCCTGCCCCGACCCCTCTGCCCTGGGCAACTCACACTCATCTTCCTTTGGCCCAGTTCTCATCGGGCCACTACTCTTCTAACATCCTTTCATCTCCTGACACTCTTTAAATGGTCTTTATTTCCCACCAAATACAGTTCAGAATCCTTAGGCTGGCATTCAAGGCTCTCCACAGTCTCATGTTTAGTATACCCAACTGAACTGGCCCCCTTGTCATGCCCCATATATGTCCCATGTCGTCCTACTTCTGTTCTTTTGCTCATACTTTTTCTTATGATGTGAAAGCCCTTGTTTCCCAGTGGTAACAGCTAGTTTACTCAAAGCTTTCCTATCATCTTTAAAGCTTCCTCCTGTACTCTTCCTTGCTGCACAGATCCAAATTTCCTCCCCAAAATAAACAGTCGAGGAGAAATCTCCCAAGGGATAAGCCCACACATCTTCTAAAAATGGCAGAGGTTGGTAGTCATAGCCTATGGCTACCAAGACTTTTTAGAATGTTAAGTGAAATGCTATTACTCACATTACCCTGTGAATGGATCCTACCTATGAAGCGAAATTCACACTGTATATGCTTGCTGCAGATAATAGGTCTCAGGCTATTTATTGGTAGTGTGCTCATAAATGTTTGACAACCAGAACCCAAACAAAAATTTGCATCCAGGAAACACTTTTCAGTTTCATAAACATTATTAACATTTTCTCCATCATTTTCTTAAACCCAGAGGTGAATAAACCACAGCCTCAGGGCCAAATGTAGCTAGTTTTTGTAAGGCCTAAGAATGATTTTTATATTTTAAAATGAAGTTTTATTGTATTTAAAAATGTAAAAAACATTCTTAACTCTCCGGCAGTACAAAACCTGACTGCTGGTCAGATTTGGCCCTAGGCCTGTAGTTTGCTGACCCTTAACTCTCAATCAGTAAAGCAACAAAGCAAGCCCTAGTTTGTAGCATTTAGTTTTCTGAATTATAAATGTTCACACTGAAATTTTAATCCTGGGCTCTCCTGTGTGGGTTGGAATGGGCTCCATATTGACTCAATCTAGAGACAGAGTAGCCTATGGCTATTCCACAGCACCTGGCTACAATGTCCATAACCATTAACACAGAAATTGTTAACACAGAAATCACTGCTAGGCATATAACCCTAAGGAGGTGAAAGATGGAAAGAAAAATTGCACATATTCAAAATATCCATGGTAACACTTTTTGTGCTTGCAAATTGCTGGAAACAAAGTGATGCTAATCAACTAGGAAAATGAACAAATTGTGGTATACAAATATAATGGAATTGTGTCATAAGAAATGACAGAGTTAAGGAATTTTTAAAAATATGGGAAACCCCATAGGAACTGATTAAATGAGTAGGCAGAACAAGGAAAACAAAATATAAAATGAACATATAAAACATATAAAATCAACAAAGTTGAATGCTGTGTAATTATAATGACCAATCTTGGCTCCAGAGACAAAATAAATAAATGGGCCTTTATTCGTTGTTACAAGAGAAGAAATACTTGGAGATGGGTAACTTGTTGTGGGGGACGACCAATATATCTGGAAATAACTTATAAAAATAAAAAACGCCAATGAAACCTTTTTTTAGAAAAGGAAATAAAAGAAGGCTTAAATTTTTTGGAGGGATATTCATTATATGTGGTTGGGCTGCATTAATATAAGAAAAATAATGATATGTCTGAACTGATGTGCAGATTTAATTCTGTGCCAATCAAACTACCAGGGTATATAGCCAGACAAAATAATAATATAATTTATTTGAAGAAACAAAAGGTTAAGAATCTAATGTAAAATTATGAAAAAAATGCATTAAGAATGAAATGGTATAGTATTTCCAGATTTCAAATTATATTCTGAAATAATAATAATCCAAACTATTTGATTACTGGTTAAAAAGAAAAGTAAATAAGTGAAACAGATTAGATAACAGGAATCAAAAGCAAATGAACATAGTACAGCCTAGTGTTTAACAAACCAAAGAATATAAACTACTCTCCATTTGACAAGAACCACCAGGAGAACTAAAAATTAATTTGGTTGAACTTAGGTTTAGATCAGCATCTTACATCAAAATGCGCCTCTAAATTGTTATTTGACCTAAAAGGACAGAAGATCAGAAGGTACTTTTCACAATTATGACTAAGGGGAAAATACTTAACAAAGGAAAGATTTTTTTTATAAAGTAGACAATTTTGACTCCATAAAATTTAAAAAAAAACTTCATATTAACCAATTCAGTTAGAAGAGAAACTGTTAAAGAGTCAAAATATCTTTGCACCAGATATCTGATATCCCAAGATACGTAGGAAAATGACACAGAAAAAGCCACATTATTCCTCAGTAGATTAAGTAGTCAGTGCAAATGATTAACATATGAAAAAATGCTCCAAATAATTAATAAGAGAAATGCCAATTAAAACAATTCTGAGATCTTATACCCAGCAAATTGGAAAACATGATAAAAGAAGAAAATAGTCAATGTTGGAAGGGCTCTGGGAATGCATTTACATTAATATGCTGTTAGCGGAGCTGTGAATTATTCCAACCATTCTGGAAAGTATTTTCAGTTATGCAAGAAAACGATTGAACTTCATACCCTGCTAGATACATACTCCAAGAAAGTCAATGCCAGAAAGAAAAGCTTCATATATACCAAAATATTAGTGGTAGCAAAAAACAGGTGTGTGTGTGTATGTGCGTGTGTATGAAAGGGAATAGGGGAATGGGTGACATTCAACTGGGGATTAGTTGAACAAAACTGCAGTATGTGAATGTAAAGGAATATTATTGCACCGTAAGAAATAACAAATGTGATTAATTCAGAGAAACTTGACAAGACTTACAGAAACTGACACAAAACAAACCAACACATTGACCTTGACTAAAATACATCTCATTCTGCAACTCTAAGCCATCATCTCTCTTATGAGGCAGGAAAAATTCATCCATTAGTCTTGGTCACTATATAGATAAGAATTCTGAAGTCTTTCAGACTTGTTTTCCAGTATATTTTTGTGGTCATTGTGTAAATTGTTCTCCTGGTTCTACTTATTTCACTCTGTATCATTTCATGTGTCTTCCCAAGTTTCTCTGAATTCTTCAATATCTCTGGTTATGGCACAATAATATTCCATCCATTAATTAGTTAATTAATATTCCATAACCCTATACCAAAATTTGTTCAGTCATACACCCCATCTTTAAGCACCGGAAGTCTTTAAGCAAAGTTTGGATGACACTTGTAGTTGACATTTAAGAGGGAATTGATGTTCAGGTATGAGTTGAAGTGACATCAAAGCCCTTCCAACTTCTGTGATTCAGAGGAAAGAAGAGAAAAGGGGAAAGGAGAGGATAGAATTTTTAAAAATATATTTTTATTTATTCTTAAAAATATTTCCCAATGACATTTTAAAATTTTTTAACACTTATTTATTAAAATTTTAAGTTCCAAATTCCCTCCTTCCTGCCTCTCCCCCACACCTTGAGAAGGCAAGCAATATGATACCAATTATACATGTGAAATCATTCCATATTAGCCATATTGCAAAACAAAACACACACAAAAAAATCCCAAGGAAAATAAAGTGAAAAATGTATGCTTCAATCTACACTCAGATTTCATCAGTTCTTTCTCTGGAGGAGGATAGCACTTTCCATGATGGGTCCTTTGAAATTGTCTTGGATCATTGTCTTGATCAGAATAGCTGAGTCTTTCACAATTGGACATCTCGTACAATATTGCTGTCACTGTATAAAATGTTCTCCTGGTTATGCTCACTTCATTTTGCATTATTTCCCATCAGACTTCCCAAGTTTTTCTGAAATCATCTTACTCATTTCTTTTTTTTTTCTTTTTCTTTTTTTAGGCAATTGGGGTTAAGTAACTTGCCCAGGGTCACACAGCTAGTAAGTGTCAAGCATTTGGTCTGAGTCCTGATTTGAACGCAGGTCCTCTTGACTCTATCCTGCTGGTGCTCTATCCAGTGTGCCACCTAGCTGCCTCTCATTTCTTTTTTTAAAAAAATAACATTTATTTTTTCCCCAATTAGGTATAAGAACAATTTTTAACATTCATTTTTAAAAATTTTTGAGTTCCAAATTCTCTCCCCCCTTTTTCCCCTCCCTGAGATGGTAAGCAATTTGATATAGGTTACACATGTGCAATTATGCAAAGCATATTTCCATATTAGTCATGTTGTGAAAGAAAACAAAGACCAAAAAAACCCCACAAAAAAAAAACAAAGAGAAAAGTTGTATGCTTTGATCTGCATTCAGAGTTCATCAGTTCTTTCTCTAGAGGTGGATAGCCCTTTCCATCATGAGTCTTTTGGAACTGCCTTGGATCATTGCATTGCTGAGATTAGCTAAGTCATTCACATTTGATCATCATGCAGTATTGCTGTTACTCCTGGTTCTACTCACTTCTACTTTGCATCAGTTCAATGTAAGTCTGGAAATACAAATCTAGTGGTGGCATTGCTGGGACAAAGGGTATGCACAGTTTTATACTCCTTTGGACGCAGTTTCAAATTGTCCAGAATGGTTGGATTGGTTTCCAGCTCCACCAACACTGCATTAGTATCCAGATTTTCCCACAAAACTCCTCCAATCTTTGTCATTTTCCTTTTCTATCATATTAGTCAATATGATAGCTGTGGGGTGGTACCTCAGAGTTGTTTTAATTTTCATTCTTCTCATCAACAGTGATTTAGAAGATTTTTTTCATGTGATTTTAGATAGCTTTAATTTCTCCTTCTGAAAATTGCCTGTTCGCATCCTTTGACCATTTATCAATTGAGGAATGGCTCTTATTTTTGTAAATTTGGCTCAATTCCCCATGTTTGAGAAATGAGGCTTTTATCAGAGAAATGTGGCATAAAAAATGTTGCCGAGTTTCTTGCTTTCCTTCTGGTTTTGACTGCATCAGTTTCATTTGTGCAAAACCTTTTTAATTCTATGTAGTCAAAATTATTCATTTTACTTGCCATGATCCTTTCAATCTCCTGTTTAGTCACAAACCAAAAGGATAGAATTTTAAACAAGAAACAATGAGTGTGGGAATGACTGGAGGGGCAGGGGAGGCAAGGAAAAAGAGAATGCTAAATATGGCAAAAAAAAAAAAAGACTGGGAATCACAATCTGTCTTTCACCTAGCTCTTTGCCCTCTTAGCTCTCCATAAATTGTTTAGACTGAACTCCAAAATTTGTTGTGTAGCCAGGGAACAAGGGAGAGCACGCTATGCTAATTGCTACTCAAATTAGTGATAATGAGTAGGATTCTATTTAGCAATTCTGGCTTCCTCCAGAAAGTGATAAAATTGTGAGAAAATGGTTTGTCAGACTGAGAACTATCCCAAAAAAGTGTAGTATATGAAATGGGAAAATGGTCTAAAACAACTGTGGCAAATTCTATGCTTTCTAATTTACTCCTTCACTATCTATCATGGGCATTGTATTCTGTTTAGGAAGGTGCACACCATAGAAGTCATAGACCCTTGTGTTACAGGATCTAATGATCTAGTTGGAGAGAGAAAGCATACACACAGTATATAATTAATGCCACGCTGTCCTGAGCTGTTACTTCGGTGTCAAAATAAATGATCTTGCCAGTATGTGCTATAGGAGTTCAGAGAAGTGAGCTATAGAGGGGTCATCTAGACTAAGTGATAACCTGAAGAGATAAACCTTAAAGAAGGAGAAGTTGCTGAATTATGGTGGTAGGGCTAATTCAGGGGTCTTGGCCGAGTCTAGAGGTAGCAATGAGGAGTAAGGAGAATTCTGACTACTCCGTCATGACTGGTGAGTCAGGGTGTGTGAATGAAAGCACTGGAAAGGTAGCCAGAGATGCAGTGATATCAGGAGAAGCTGCCAGAAGATAGAAGTGAGAAAGGAAAAGACTTAAAATGAAAGCAAGTATTCATGAAGTTGCCCTTAGGGTGTATCTTTTAGCTGTTTTCCTTGCAGAATACTGAAGCTGCCTTTCTTCCCTGTGTCTATCTGTCCTCAGTTCTGGATGCAGACATTATACTCAGCTGTCCCAGGGACACTGCTGGTATACCCAGAGGAAGTCCAAAATTTTCCAAATTTTTGAAGTTAGCAAGGTCATCCTGTGGTCATGGGAAGGGGAAGAAATAGGGCTCTCGCCTCTCAAACTCCTCTCCCTCCCTCCAAGAGATTCCTTCTCAGAGCCTTTCTTGAAACTGCTTCCATAACTGGGCTGGCTAGACACTGGAATGCTTGGGTTCCAAACTAGCCTGTTATTTTTATACAATTTCCATAGGACATGATTGAGTCTCTTCAACTTATCTCAATACACTTCCTGTGTAGCCTCATTTTTATTTCATCCATTGGCTTTCACTACTTCTAAACTGATTATGGACTTTTCCTGCACCTATTAGAAATTACTTTAATTGATTCAATAGATGTGTCCTCATGTAATAAAGGTATGAGGGTTTAATATCTTGTTATTTTAAGTGGGGTAGGGTGATCGATGGACTGACTCAACGAACCCTCCCTTTACAATAATAACGCCACAAAAAATTAGAGGAGAATGGAAAGTTACGTATTGCATTGGATAGAGCACTCGGTTCAAATATGGCCTCAGATACTTTCTAGCTGTGTGACCCTGGGCGAGTCACTTAACCTTTGGTTGCTTCAGTATCCTTGTCTTTAAAATAAAAATAATAATAGCACCTACCTTGGAAGGTTGTTATGAAGATTAAATGAGATAATAATTGCAAAGTGCTTAGCATAGTGCCTGGGACATGTATCAAAGTACTGTATCAATGTTAGCTATTTTTATTAGCTACTATTATTAAATAGATCTGTGATCTCATCAATGTGGATATTCCTTCTAGTAGTGCAAAACATAGCCCATCCATGTCTGCTGATTAGGTTATCACAGGGAATTCATTTAAAAAGCCAGGGGCCTTCCTTGATTTCACTTGGCTTCTCAAGGATACCAATGAAACACTCTGGTTGTCCTTTGCCTTCACAGAGTGACTAGCTCATCTCTTCTTCCTATCATACATTTCCTTGATGATATTTTAACATTTCTTTTCTTTGTAGCTCCTCATTGGTTATATACAGGGCGTAACATCACATGCACCTCTCCATTGTTCTCTATGTGATAATCATTTTTATTTCTTCAGAAACTATTGTGTTCCATGTCTCATAGACTTACAGCAACCCTGGCAGAATGTTGGTATTAAAAAGATGGACCACCAAAAAAAGAAAAAAAAAAGATAGACCTTTGTTTCCAGGTGAAGCTTGGGGCCATTAAAAGGCAACCTTCTCCTATTTAATAGGAGGTCCGCTTCACTGTTCATGTGTTTTATTTGTCATATTTGTCATGTACATAACTGGTGGACAAACTCTATAGGTTGGTTGGCCTTCCAGCAATCTGGACAGTAGACTGGGGTTTTTTTGCTTTTTAATGAGGTAATTGGGATTAAGTGACTTGCCCAGAGTCACACAGCTAGTAAGTGTCAAGTATCTGAGGCCAGATTTGAACTCAGGTCCTCCTGACTCCAAGGGTAGAACTCTATCCACTGTGCCACCTAGCTGCCCCTAGCTATAGACATTCCTAATCTACTTAGTCCCTTCTGTATGAAAGGCCAAGCCAAAATCTCTTAAGTGACTATAGATCTTTTCCAGGAAGCTCTGTAATATTTTGGGATCCCATGCAACTAGTTCAGTAGCAAACAAGAGTCTCATCGTCATTCATACAGAATCCCTCTTCAACTCAACTGTGCAGTGGATCTCCTCCATCATAGTGGCAAACATCTTTTGGTGAATAGACATCTCCTTGTCCGGGTTTTTTTTTTTAATGCCTTGCCAAATATTTGTGTTCAGGGGAGTCATTGAAAGGGGTTATTTCTATTGTCATGTCTTTCAAAGAACTTACATAATTGTGATGTATAGATAGGAGAAACCTTGTTGACAGTGAGTCTTTAGGTGGTGTTTTGCTTTACTGAATCAAATGCTTTTTCATGAGCAAAAAATAATATAAATTTTGTATTTTCTATGGGCAGTTGGGTGGTGTAGAGGATAGAGTGTCAGGCCTGGAGTCAGGAAGACTCATGCTCCTGAGTTCAAATCTGGCCTTAGACACTTACTAGCTATTTGACCCTGAGCAAGTCACTTCACCCTGTTTGCCTCAGTTTCCTCATCTGTAAAATGAGTTGGAGAAAGAAATGGCAAATCATTAGTATCTTTGCCAAGAAAACCCCAAATGGGGTCATGAAGAGTCAGATACTGCTGAAAACGACTGAACAACAATATTTTCTATATCCTAGAGCCAATTGTGAAAAACTAAAGATATGGTCCATTATTGAATATTGTATGGGAAAACTGACTTCTTTCTTCTTGTTAATCTCATTCTGAATGACCTCTATTCATGTGTAGATGAGTTTTATATTCTGTATAGATGAGAAGGTGGCATAATGTAGGTAATTGTTGTCTTTTTTAAAAAAATTAATAAGGTCTGTGGCTTTTCCACACTTTTGGTATCTTCTTCTTCTTCATCACATATTTTATGAGTCAATCCCTCAGGTCAAGTCTTGAAAAAAATCAAAACCATGAGTTGAAAAATAAAGCAGGTGTCTTTAATTGAGATAATAGGGCAGCATATCTGGGGGATGTCCGGTGGATTTCCCAAGCAAAGAGACCCATAAAAAGTTTTTATAGCTTTAGGAGGAGAGGGAGATGATATGAGTATGAGGTAGCAAGGTTGGTCATGAGACCCCAGTGACCCTTGGCAATCTGGGCCAGGAAAGCCACTTCATTCCGGCTGTTCTGCCCTTCACGCCATGAATTACAATTGAAAGGAGCAAGGACATCAAAGGCCTAGATCCAGCTTAAGCTCCACAAGACAAGATCTCAGAATTGGGTGACCTAGACTATGGTTCAGTATAACCTAATCAAGAGTAAATATGTTAAGAGTAGGAATGCAAGGACATTACTGAGATTCTGACATTACAAAGATCATTTAAAGGAGTAGCAGTCCATAGTTCATTTGGTATTAACAATGTTGCAATTATATTAACAATTTTGTCACTCAAAACTCAAAATTGTGCTCTGTCCAGCATGGATTTTTTCTATATATCTCTGCTCCACCATAGCTGTTTTTCTTATCTTTTTTCTTTTTGGTGTCAGTAATACTTCTTCTTTAAGAACATCTGGGTCAAAGAACAGGATAAAATAAACAGAGGGCAGGATAGGATGGAGGGAAATATAGTTAGTCTTTCACAACACGACTTTTGGAAGTGTTTTGCATGACTACACATATACAACCTTTATTGAATTGCTTGCCCTCTCAATGAGGGGGGCATAGGGAGGGAGGAAGGGAGAGAATTTGGAACTCAAAGTTTAAAAAATGAATGTTGGAAATTGTTTTTTGCATGCAACTGGGAAATAGATAGACATGCAATGGGGTCTAGAAACCTATCTTACCCTATAAGAAAATAGAAGGGGAAAGGGGATAAGTGAAGGAGAAGGGTGATAGAAGGGAGGGCAAATTGGGGGAAGAGGTAATCAGAATGCATACCATCATGGGATAGGGGAAAGGGAAAATGGGGAGGAAATTTGGGACTCAAAATCCTGTGGAAGTAAATGTTGAAAACTAAAAATAAATAAATTTTTAATAAAAGAACATCTGGAACTGTGATGTTAGAATCCAGATGTGGTGGCTCCACTGTCCTTGTTGATAAATATTAAATATATTACTGTCTTGAATGTTTAGGTTACTAAGGAGAAGGACATTAAGGAGTTGCCCCATAATTCTAACATTTACCTGCAGTATGCTTTGTAACCTCAAGAAGTATCTAACAAATGGAGAAACTTGATGCCAATTTCCTCTACTACCAAACCACTCTAGAATCTGGCATGGAGTTTAAAGAGCCCAGGTCTCTCTGACTGTGAGGTGACAGCCAGGTTATCACCCAAAGACTTTCCCTTCTTGTCAGGCTTTCAAATCTGGCTTTATGCTCAAGTCATTGCTTGAAGCTTAGATGATGCCATGGAAGAGGATTGTAAAGGGGAAAGAGATTAACTCAGGTTAGACTCCCAGAGAATTATTGTTCAGAGGTTTGAGGATGAAGGTCTCAGGAAATGTGAATATGAGGAACAAAGCAGTTCTTTAGTACTCCTATATTTTCCTCTATACTGAGTCTCAAAGTACTCTGACATTAGAATTAGTTTAAATTTCTACCTTACCCCTTTTTTTTTTTTTAGTTTTCAACATTCACTTCCATAAGACTTTGACTTCTAAATTTTTCCCCCTCCCCAAGACAGCATTCAATCTCATCTTTTTACATCAGGCAGAAATATCTGAAAAATGTTTCCTGCCATAGGAAACAAATTGTACCTCTTGTAGACTGAGGCAGCTGCTTCCTTTCCTGTTGCCTTCTTTGAACTCAGGACTTTGTGAATGTTACAACACTCATACTATCTCTAAGGGAAAAACTTCTCTATCCCCAGGTGTGAACACTATACTCCCAGAGAGTTTCTTTTTAGCTATCCTTATTTTTATAAACGATTCTAGGAACAGAGAATAATAAATATATATACATATATTTAAGGGACCTCGGAAGCTAGTTCTTGTTCAAACCACTTGTTTTATTGTGGAAGAGACAGAGGCCTAGGGAGGTGTGGTGTTTAGAATATCTGCCTCATTTTTTTCTGGCCTAAGCTAAACTGCATTTTGTTTTGCATTTATCCTACTTTTCTAAAGGAGTGGGTGGTGTGTTGGAGGAGCCCGAGGCACAGTGTCATTTCATTAGTTCTGAAGTATTTATTTTAATAGTCCTTTATCTGCATAAGGGAGCCACTGGGTATCATAGGACCAATTTTTCAGCCTAATGGGCAGATGCACTGGTACAAATTCACCAGATTTAGTGAGATTAACTGTGGCAACTGATCAGGATCACCAAGAGTCGAATGTGGCTGAAACGACTGAACAATAGTCTAACTAAGGGGACTGACTGCTTAATAGAGTGGACAAGATGAAAGAGGAGTGCATGGTGAGACTGCTGGGGCTTTAAATGATTTGGGGAAGATCATCAGATCCGGGATTCGCTGTGGAAAGAAACCGAAACAATGAAATTTGGGTTCTAGCAAGCAGTAAGAATTAAGGAACACGTTGAGTTTGGCAAAGGAGCTATCTGTGTCAGTCACTACTCTTCTAGAAGAAATTATGTCTGCTGGAGCAGAGTTTCCAAGATCTTCTATTTTCTGACCTCTATCCCATTTGGAGAGGCCTCTGGTTACGGGAATATTGCCCTAAAGGCTGCACCTGTTCCTTTCCCCCCACATTCAGCTTGCTCTTCCCTGGGGAGTCTATTCTCATTCCCAAAAGCCAGTATCCACAGTCCCTGGAGCTTCCTGTGCCAGAAGCTTTTGTCTACCCTAATGGGGCTCATTGTTTAGCAAAGTTTCCCTTAGCTCCGGTTTTAGGTTAGACTCTCCTACTGGCTTTAAGCCAGTTTAACAATGAGCCCCAGGACATCTGCAGTATTTTCAGAAAGCAACCCCTCCTACCTGTCTGGATGATGTCTGTCTGTCCCAGTGGTAGGTAGCATTGGGATCTCTGAGATCTGGTTGCATATTGACATCCTACATAGAAAGAGATACCATTCAGAAAACGTCACATGATTAACCAGGAACTACGTACATGCTACTTAACAATGCCCACCTCCCTTACCAATCCCCTACCCCCACACGCTTGCTTCTTCTCCATATTCAAATACTTCCTTCTCATAGCTTTGGTCTGTATTGTGAAGCTCAGAAGCCATTAGGGACCAAACACAAGCCCAAATAAGAGTGATTTCTTTCCATCACTCTCAATTCATATTCTGATGGGATGGGCACTGAGATTATTTGTAGTGTCCAGTTCACACTATGTTCATGTCCGGCAACCTCACCTGCTGAAGTCACTCTGACCCCATCCTAATAGAGGTGTGTTTCCTTGCACCTAAAGAAAAAAAAAGAAGTTAAGGTTGTTAAGTTGTTGTATTCTTTAGAACTATGATATTTGTTCTCTTTGGCCCTCGTGTCCTGTGAATAGTGGGGTTAGGGGTGGGTGGGGTGTTATTGATGGAGAGAGAAGATTTTCTTTTTTAAAATTTTTTAATTAATTTATTTATTTTTAGTTTTCAACATTCACTTCCACAAGATTTTAAGTTCCATTTTCTCCCTATCTCATCCCTCCCCTCAACCCAAGACGGCGGTGCATTCTGAATACCCCTTTCCCTAATCTACCCTCCCTTCTATCTCCCCCCACTCTTCTCTTTCCCCCTTCCCCTTCAATTTTCCTATAGGACAGGATAGATTTCTATACCCCCATTGCCTGTATATCTTATTTCCCAGTTGCATGTGAAAACAAATTTTTAACATTTGTTTTTAAAACTTTGGGTTCCAAATTTTCTCCCTTCCTCCCCACCCACCCTCATTGAGAAGGCAAGTTACTCAGTACAGGTTATACATGTGTAATCATGCAAAACACTTCCATAGCAGTCACGTTGAGAAGGGAGATTCTAAAGCAGGAGTTGTTAACCTGCAGTCCATAAACTTAAATTTTTTTTGATAACTGTTTCACTAGTTATTAGTTCCTTTGCAAATTCTACATATTTTGTGTATTTTTTTAAAAAAACCCATTTAAACATCAACATTTACGAAGCATTTTAAAACATAATTCTGAGAAGGGGTCCATGTGCTTTAACAGACTGCCAAAGGAATTCATGACACACAAATAAATTTTACATCTTTCATATTTTGAACAACTATTCCATATCACCTACTAGATAAATTGCTATCCTGGCTGGCCAGCACCATTGAAAGAAATGCTATTCTGCCATGGTGGGAATGGGAAATGGTCTAGGTATTCCCCCAGGGAGTACCATCTGGTGGCAAGTGGGAATATTGAAATCTTTAGGGAGGCTGAACTATATCTTGCCAAAGAGCAATCGATTTGACCTACTGGGGTTGGTGGCTTAAAAAGAGAGCCACCTAGTGGGAATTGCAGATATTTCACCCCTTTGCTGGATCATTAATATAGTGACACATTGTCCTTCTGAAGGTTTAAAGCAGCAAATTAGCCATGCAGGATTTCTGCTGCCATTGAGGTACCACAAGTATCTAATGGTGTATGCACAACATATGACACACAGTGCACAGATATCACAATGAATTATTTTAAAATAGAGAATCAAAAAACAAAGGCTTTAAGATAAGACCTTAACTCTAGTTTAGAAAGTCCGGGAAACCAAATTTTAACATAATTTTCCATAAGCCTTCATAACTGACAGTATCAAAGGCCTTGGTCAGATCTACAAATGTGTACAGACCTTTGTTCTGCTCTTGGCATTTCTCCTGCAGTGAGGAGTTAGGCACTGAATACCATATTGAATGCTCCTTGGCCCTTTCGAAGCTGGCTCTCAGGTAGATGACCATCTTCCAAGTGAAACATCAACCTCTTAAGGAAGACTCTGGCAAGAATCTTGCTAGCAATGACTAAAAGAGAGAGAGAGACCCTCCCTGTGATTGTCACAGGATGATCCATTTCCTTTCCCTTTGTAGGGATGGACAGTGGAGGCATCCTTGTAACCTCCTCTTGCCATAAAACCTGAACAATTTTAGTCAGTTTTTGTATGAGCAATGGACCCACACACCTTGTAAATCTCAGCTGGAATAGAATAAGCACCAGGTGTTTTGCCACAGAAGAGGAGCCTAATTGCATTAAAACTTCTTCAGGTGGAAATTTGTCTACAGAGGGATTGACTTCAACCTGAAGTAAACAGTCAATGGCTTCGGCATATGATGGTCTGTTGAGAACACTGCAGAAGTGTTCTCCCAATCTCTCCAGAATCATGTTCTTATCACAAATCGATATGGTTTCATCAGCGCTCCGTGGTTGAGATTTACCATATGTCTTTGGCCCACAAAGAGCCTTCAGGGCATCATAAAAGTGCTTTGGGTTGTTACTATCAGTATAAACTGAATTTCGTTTGCCTTCTTACTGAGCCAAGAATCCTGAATCTCTCTAAGCTTCACTCATACCTTTTTTTTTTTTAGGCAATTGGGGTTAAGTGACTTACCCAGGGTCACACAGCTGGTAAGTGTCAAGTGTTTGGTTTGAGGCTGGATTTGAATTCAGGTCCTCCTAACTTCGGGGCCAGTGCTCTATCCACTGTGTCACCTAGCTGCCCCCATACTTTACTTTTGGTGGAGTTAAATGCTGCCTTCTTAGAGATGAATAAACTATCAGGCTGGTAAACCCTATAGAGTTCTCATTTTTCATTTAGCAGTTTCTGAATTTCCCCATTATTTTCATCAAACCAATCATGATGTTTGTGAGTGTTCTGACCGAGATGAGCAAATGCGGTGCTATACACCAAATCTCTGAAAACTGCCCAGTCCTTTTTCTGCTCCACTGTTGCCAACTGTGTGTTGGCTCAACTTTCCCTCCAAGTTAGCAACAAACTGTTCCCACTCAGAGAAGATCTCTAAACTGTGGACATTAAGTCTTCTGGTAGTTATTTTGCCTTGGGGCCACCGCTTTTGTTGAATGCAAATGTTTAACTTGGAGAAGATGTCTATGATCAGTCCAGCACTCTGCAGTCACACATTGCCTTTGTTACTCTCACATCCTGTCTGTCTCTTCACCTTATAATCACATAATCTATTAAATGCCAATGCTTGCTGTTAGGGTGCATCCACAAAGTTTTATTGATTTTGGGTAAATAGAAGACAATGTTGGGGACAAGAAGGTCATGAGATTCACAAGTCTTTAGTAGTAGTAAGCGATCATTGCTGTTGCTCTTTCCAACTCCATTCCTCCCTAGGACTCCCTTTCACGTCTGGTCGTCTGAGCCTGCTCTAGCATTAAAGTCACCTCGATTATAAGTATGTCCTCTTTTGGCACATTGATGATACGGGTCTCCAGGTCTTCATAAAATTTTTCTTTGACCTGATCAGGGTTCTTCGTGGTGGAAGTATAGACACTAATGATGGTGGCGTGACATTTTCCTGCAAGTGGCAATCACATTGTCATGAGCCTGTAGCTCACTCCTTTTGGGAGGCATACAAACTTGTTGACTAGATTAGTGTCGATTGAAAAACCTGCACCAGCTTCATGGCGCTCCCCTTCACTGCAGCCACTCCAGAAAAACGTGTATCCAGCTTCAACTTCAGTGAGCTGGCCTTCATTTGCCAGCCTTGTTTCCTTCAGGGCTGCTATTTGGATGCGATACCTGCTGAGTTCTCTTGTGACAAGAGTTGTTCATCTTTCAGGTCTACTGGATTTTGTGTTGTCTATAAGTGTGCACACATTCCATGTACTGATGGTGAGTGGAATCATCTTTGTAGAAGTTTTTGTACATTTTTTTTGTGTTTTGAGAGCAGGGTGGGATCTCTGCCTGCTGTGGTAATCAGGCCAAGGTTGGGTGAGCAGACAGTTTTTAGGGCCCCCTTTTCTAGCCCCTTCTTCACACCAGGAGATTAGCAGCACAGTCCTTAAAGGGCTGCTCAGATACCCAGGGGGCTGCCAAATTCCACTGCTGCTTCAGTGAGAAGATGACCCTGCGGCCTAGGTTGCCTGTGTGCAGGGTTGTGACTACAGCTGCTAGTGTATCCACATTTTGAGGTAGGTAAAAAAGGATAAAGTGGTATGGGTGATGTCTTTTGATTCATGCATAAATTGGATTCAAGTGAGGCAAAGTTATGCCAAGTTGTTGGCCTCACTCTCTCTCCCAGAGTCCTCACAGTCCAGTGGCAGGACAGAGTCAAGATGACTGGTGATGGCTTGAGATGCAGTGGATGATGCTGGCATCTTTGGTGTCTAACCAAGCTCTCAGCACTCCACGTCACCTGCATCAGCCACCTTCATGACCATTGGAACAAATTGTTCTCATCTGCCTGTGGGAGACGTCTTCACATGTTTGGGGTAGACACCCTCCTAACTCACCGACAGGTTTGAGACTTCTTAGTCATCCTCAGCCTGGTTTAGCCGGTCTGTGGAAATGGCTTATTGAGGTGTGGCCACTGTGCATGCTACAGCTTCTATGGGCCACAGGTGAGAGTTAGGTGGATAAGATGGAAAGCAGCCCTCACCCTAGAGGTCCAAGTCTTCTCAGAACATAGCCAATACCCTAGTACAAGGGTAGTGCCCAGCATGACAAATTCCCTGGAGTTATTCCTCCTTAGGGGGACTTCCAGCATCATGACCCCTACCGACCAACTGCTACGCAGTCTAGCCGTCAAGATGCCTTTCTGCTGTGCTCTCCATCCCCTGCCAACCACATGAACTTCCTGGCCTGAGGACCTCCCCGCTGCTAGAGTTCTCAAATTGATCTGAAATCAGCAGCAGAGGCAGCTGGCAAAGACAGTGTTGACTTCAACAGCCAGGAGCACCTGCCCTCTTCATTTCTCCCCCACCCCTCACCACTACCATAGGATTCCCTCCTGGTCCTCCCCTAGTCAATGTCCTATTCTCCTCTGCCTTTCTACTCTGTTATAGGTTTTCTGGGAACTGAATTTGAGTCTAGCCTTACCACTTCCTATCAGAGCAACCCTTGGAAAGCAACTTTACCACATGCTTTGTAGAGCTGGGGGCTTGGAACTCAGTCATTCAACAAGTAATTTTCAAAATTTTAAATATATTTATATAAAATTTGTTTTAATCAGCCAAAGTCTGCCTTCTTATCCTTTCCCCTACCCACCCCCCAACTGAGAACACAAGAAAAATAAATTTTATTACAAACATGTATAGTCAATCTAAAAAGATTTCTGCATTGGCCATATCCAAAAAATATTTGTCTCATTTTACATTCTGAGTCCTTCCCTTCTATCGGGCAGTGGATACAGTGGCATGTTTCATCATTAGTCCTCTGGGAATTTTTTTTTTTTAAGGCAATTAGGGTTAAATGATTTGCCCAGGGTCACACAGCTAGTAAGTGTCAAGTGTCTGAGGCTGAATT